TGTGCCCTAGAACTCAAGTTGGCCTGCAGAGATTTGCTGTGGCTCCCACACCTGACTGGTGGCGGGCAGGTGCGGGGCGCCAGGTAAGCGGGGCACAGAAGGCCTTTTGTTAAAGCACGAACAGACCAATGAGAAAACTTCCCAGGCAGGAGGCGCCGGGAAGGCTGGCACCCTCCTCCTTGCCCCACAGTTGGGAATGCTGTCCTTCCATCACTCTCCCAGCAAAGGGGTAAGGTCCTTTCCTAAGAAGCCTGAGGAAGACACTACGTCACTGACCCCTCCAGGGTCAGCACCCCAGGCCACGTGCTTCCGCTGGTCCCAGAGCCAGGAAAGGGATAGAAGGTTTCACCGATCATCGGGCACACAGAAGGTCCCTTCCCTATAGTGAGGCACTGCCCTCTAAGCCCTCACACCCATACCGAGCTGGGGTGAGTCTGAGGCCAGGGCTGGGGGTGCTGCCTGGCTTGGCATTCCTCTGCGAAGAAGGGCACATCCTCTATGCAGGAAGGAAGAGGGGAAGCAGTCTGGGGCTGGGGGGAGGGGAAAGTTTCCAAACTGCTCTCATGTCTGGGCTGGGCTTCCCAAACAGCTTCATCCTCAGGCAAACTGGCAAGGGTGTGGTTGGTCGGCCCTCCACGCAGGTGAGGGAGAACAGTGACAAGCAAGAGACACACACATCTGGCTCTCCCCCAGCCAAGCACACATAGACAGCAGGCCAAGCTGCAGGCTCAGGCTCGAGGCCTCCCTGCACCCACCAGGCTGAGCTCCCAGGTACTGAGCACTGTCGCAGGGCTCCCAACCTCCACGCCAACCAGGAAAGTGCTGCCCTGCTCTACCAGTGTGACCTTGGGAGAGCCACTTAGCTTCCCTAGGCTTCAGTTTCCTCATCTGTAAAATGGAATGATGAGTCTATTCCTTGGAGGGTTGTGGTGAGGACTGAATAAGATAGTCCATATAAAGCTTTTGGAAGAGTGCCTGCTACATAGTAAGACTCTACAATGTCAGCTGCTGTTATTATGGTAGGTTTTATCAGTCCCTTTAACGGTGTGAAATCTGAGGCCCAGAGAACTTAAGTGACCTGCCCAAGGGCACACAGCTAGAGAATGGTGGGGAAGATCCACCCCAGGTTCAACTTTCTACTGTGCCATTGCCTTGAAGGCAACCGGGTCTCCTGGGCTTACCTGGGCACCCAGATCCCCAGAGATGCTTCTCAGAACAAGACCCCCCTTTCCTTGGAAGTGCATGGAAACAAGGTCTCCTCAGGGGACCCTGGGAGGCCATATTCAGATGCCTCTGGTCTCTCAGGTACAGCTTTAAGGACACTTGGGAAGGGAGCCCAGTTATGGGTTTGGGGCCAAGAAGGCAGGTGTTGGGTCTGGGCCAGTGGGGGTCAGGACGTGAGGGGGCCTTGGAGACAGGTCTTGACCTGCTCTGAACTCCAGTGCTGTCTTCCCAGACAGATTATGAAATGTGGGCACAAACAGCCAGCTGGGGATGCAACAGTCAAGAGAGGCTGCAGACACATCCTCAGCTGAGATCCCAGGGGACTGACTGGGCACTGGCCAGGACCAGCCAGGCAAGGGGAAGGGTTGAGGGGGCCTTGCCATGGGTGAGCCACCTACTGCCCGACTCTGGGCTGGAGGGGGGCTACCGCTAGGGGCCCTGACACAGGGATCCAGCTGGAGGATACAACAGCCCACTCCCGAAATCAGGATTCTCGCACCCCCACCCCCACCGCCAGTCAGCGCATTCGTCATGCCGACTCCGTCAGAGGGCATGGGTTTGGCAGCAGTGCCTCTGAGGGTGTCCAGGTGGCATGTGAAAGCCGTGGAATTTTACAGCCACTTTTACTCTGGCAGAACATCGCTCTAGGCGTGAGGCTATATTGCAGCAGTCTATTTAATTTTGAGGTTTGAAACTCTCAAGAGACATTTAAACCCAGATGAACTTGCTACGAGACAAGAGATGCAGCAGAAACAGATAAGGAAAGACATCCAAGAGGAGCATGGAACAGTTGTGGCTGGGAGTAAAAGCCCTTCTAGAAACCTCAGTCCCACACATCCTTGAGAAGGAAAGGTTAAGTGCCCCCTTCCCCTGCCCCCAACACATACACACAGGGAGGTCACTAAAAAGCAGACATGCAATCCCTGGTCCTGGGGGTAGGGAGTGGGGGCTCTGCCCGACTTCAGACCAAGGGTGCCAGTTCTGGAGGCTATAAAATTCTTCGTCAGCGGTGAGGACCAGGGCTGAAACAATCATCCCTGGGCAGTGGCTCTCAGTGCGGTCTGCAGACCACCAGTCTTAGGACCGCCTGGGGGCTTCTTCAAAGTGCAGATTCTAGGGCCCAGCCCCTAAGAGGCGGTGGACCCAGGAGAAACAGCATTTTAAACAAGCTCCCTAGGTGACTCTGATGCCCCCCAACCCTGAGAATCTTGAGAAAAAGCAGCAGGCAATGGAAGGTGGGGTAGGAAGAACCCAGGCTGTCAAGGCAAACGGACTTGAGCTGAGTCCTGGCTCTGCCACCTAGCAGTTGTACAACTTTGGGCAAAAGACTTGGTTCCTCTGAGTCTTGACCTCCTTGTCTGTAAAATAACAAACCTCACTCTGTTCAAAGCTGTGGTGAGGGAGAGATGAGTGAATGCACACGGGGACCCAGCGCACCCCCTACGACGCGGAGCACGGCCACTCTAGGAGACCATGGGACGTGAAGACTCTGCTTCCAGGGCTGGGGAGAAGGCAGAAGCTTGAGACGCAGAGCATTATCTAAAGACGCAACTCCTGGGGCTCCCCGACAGGAAGTGTCTCCTGTGAGAAGGAAAAGGGACTCCAGGAGAGGAATAGGAGGAAGAAAAGTGGGAGAAGGAGGAGAGTGAGCCTGAGAAAAACTGCCAGGTGAGGCGCAACGGCAGGAGCTCCGGCACAGACCTCGTTCCCAGCCTGGATCCTGCCACACAATGCTCTCCAGGCTCCACAAAATGATGCTGCTCAGGCCAGAAATCTCTCCTTGCTGAAACCCATCCCAAGATCATTATCTGCATGTCCCCAAAGAGCAACTTCAGACCCAGGTCACAGGGTGGGCCCTTTGCCTTTGCCCTACCTGCCCTCCCGCAAGAAAAATACCCGAGAGGAGCATTCCAAGGGGATTAAGACTAAGGCTTCCTCTGGGTACTGCAAGGGTAAACCAAGTCAGTGTCATCCTGTTCCTTAAGGGCCAGGAAGCACCAGACCCAGGCAAACCCAACACTTGGTGTGTGCATTTGCGTGCGCGTGTGCGTGTGTGGCCTATGCTGCTCCCTCCAAGCGTCCCTGGCACAGAGGAGGAATTCTGATCTCAGATAAGCAGGATCTGCTGCTTCCTGCTCATCACTGCCTAGCAAGAGTGACAGGGCTTAGGCCTCCCCTCTTGGGAGGCGGGGCAGAGTTCCTCAAAACCAACAGGAAACTGCTACAGGGCAGGGCCCGGGTTTGCTGACCTCCCAATAAACAAGAGTAGACAAAATCAAACAGGCGTTTCCCACCTCCCTCTGCTGCTGCACATGCCCAGACAGCTCGAAAACCCCACGACAGTGAGAGAGGGGAGCGTGGGGGACAGGAGGAAGCGGGAGAAGTGTCAGGATGTTCTGATGGGACTCACACAGACCTAACTCTTGCCTGGGAAAGATGTCCAGGGTGCCATTAAATGAAACAAAAGCAAGCTGCAAAACGACAGCTCTAACGTGACCCAATTTGTGTAAAAATAAGCAAACGGTAACAGCAGATGTGGAAGAATATGCCCCTTCCCATTCGCAGTGATCATGTCTGGAGATAGGATTGTGGGAGACTTTTACTTTCCATGTTATATTAAAACTGCAAACGTTATAAAAACATATAACGAGCATGCAACTATGTTGGCAACCACCCTAAAAAATAAGATTACTATTTCTTTAAAAGTCCAGTCTGGGAAGGCTCAGCCCTTCTTTCACAAAAAGCTGAGGTGGGAGGGGGTGCAGGAAGGCGTCAAGCAAGAGCAACGGGTCCTGATTCAGGATTGCAGGAATTTGGGTTCAAGTCCCATGTCCCTCTTTCCCTTCCTGATGACTCTGGGCAAGTTGCTTCCTTACTGAGCCGTAGTTTCCACATCTGTAAATGTGGGTAATGGCCACTGCCCAAGCTTCCTCAAACGATATCACTGATGTGGATGTGTCTGCAAATTATAAAGCAGTCTATATAAACAACAGCTATGATTAGGGAATACTTTCAAGGACACACATTCTGCTAAGTACCTTACCTATGTCACTGTATTTAATCCTCAAAACACTCTAAAGGGAGGCATATACTAATACCATCCCTTTTTTATAAATGAGGAAACTGAGTCTCACAGAGGTACAATGACTGGCCCAGTCACTTAGTGAGTACCTAACAGCTGGGAATCCAACCCAGCACTGCCTACAGACTCTGGATCATAACCAGTGCACTCTCCTGCCTTTGGAACCATTTTCCAAAGATGGGCCAAGGAACCCCAGTCTCCAAACATGTCTATGTGATCAAATAAATGTGAGGAAACTTGATCTGCTAGCTCCCTGTTAAAGACTCACTATGCTCATCTCAACACATTCAAGGCTCTGAAAAGTCCTGCAGCAAGGAAAACAACAAGATGCTGTTTCCCAGAGTTAGGCGACCACTGTGGCCAAAGAAACTGGTGTTCCACGGAACACACCTTGGGAAACGTGATCACAAGGTAGCAGGTTAGCAACTCGCCTGATAAGATCTGGAGTGAGGGAGAAAAAACAGAGATTCACAATGAAACTTAACACTGGTATTCAAAGAGCATTACTCAGCTGGCCAGAGTTGGGAGACAGAGGAAGAACTCTGTCTTTTGCCACCTCTGTCCTGGATCCCTGGCCTAGAGTGAGAAGAGCAAAGGACTGTGAAGCGAAGATGTTGCCCTTTGCTCCCTAGGCTGGGGAAGGCACCTGAACAGAGGCCATAGCTAGTCTGGTGGGGAAGGGCCCAGTCCTTACCCAGTGGACGGCTCTGCTATCTTCGCGTTGGCTGTCGGTGCTGAGGGTGGCCCACGTCTTTCTGGGCAGGGTCCTGGCATTCCCTTTGATCCATGGAAACTGCCTCCCTACAAGGAAGTAAAAGCCACTGTCAGCTGGGATGTGTGTGATGACTGCAGATTTACCTGCTGTGCTGCCAAGGTTTTCTGAGTGCCTGCTCAGTACCAGGCCCTGGGCTGGCGTCTGGGGTGACAGGAGAGAATCAGGCAGGGTGCCTGCCTCCCAGACCTCGGTCTACTGGGGAGATGCCAAGTCAACAATTACAATCTTGAGTGCCCAGGGGTCTGGTGGGGGAAATCCAGGAGCTATGGAAACACGGAAGCATAAGACTCAGACTAGTAGGGTCAGGGAAGGCTTCCTGGAGGAGGTGTTGCCTGAATTGACGCCTGAGGGAGAATAAGGGTTGGAGAAGAGCATTCCAGGCAAAAGAAACAGCACAGGCTTGCCTGGAGGGGAGAGAACATGACATCCAGAGAATGCTGAGTGGTTCAGACTGGCTAGGTCTAGGGCCAGAGGTGGTAAGTGGCTGGGTCTAGCGCCAGAGGTGGGGTGGACTGGGTCTAGGCAAAGACACGGTCTCTGCCCAGACACACAACCTCAACTAAAACACAAAATCCATTCACCATCTATTAGCCAAAAAGCATTTAGTGAGCACGTACTATAGGCCAGGCCGTCCACTCAGAACTGGGGATACAAGAGTGAACAAGGTAAATCAGCAGGGTGGGGAGAGAAGTGTGATTGGACTACAGTAGGGGTAACTTAGGGAGCTGTGGGAGCAGAGAAGGAGCATCTAAACGAGCCAGGAGCTGGGAGTGTGGCACAGACATTAGGGAAAGCCAAGGGATAAGCAGGAGTTAGCCAGGAAAAGGCGGGGGGTGGGGGGGTGCCTCCAAGACAAAGGGACCTAAACAGATCCAGGAGGGACTGTGGAGTTTTTCAATCATTTATGCCAGCGAACATTTATTCCACCTATTCATTCCAGGCACCGGGCTGGGAGGACAGAAGTGGAAGACAGACTCTACTCTCATGGGGAGACAGGTCAATAACCCAGCACTTCCACATGGGGTGATGACAACTAGTCAGTGAAGCACCTAGAGCTTTAAAGGCACAGAGGCCATCCAAGCCAACCTCTAACCTTGCCCTGCCCTCCTCAGTAAGGATGGGGACACTTATATGGGCAGTCCAGTTACTTGTCCATGGCAGAGCCAGTACCAGATTTAACTCTGTCACTGAATCTTCTACTCCTTCCTCTTCCAGGAAGCCTACCCTGACCACTCTCTGCGAATTCACCCCAGAACTATTCCCTCTGTAACTCTGGGCTACATCTGTAATGTTTCTATTACTATACTGGCCACACTGTATCCGAACTTATGTATGTTCCTGTCTGCCTCTCCTCCCAGACTGCATCTCTGAGGAGGCCAGGGACTGTAGTTTATTCATCTCTGTTTTCACAGCACCATTCCTGGCCTGGGACAGGTACTTAACTAAAAGATAGTTGAATGAATTAATGAATGAATCAATCAATCAGGGGATAAAGAGATGGTATGCTGGGATCTAGGGCCCCACATCCATCCCACCTAACTCTCCACAAAGTTTCCGTCCATCATCTTGTGCCTCAGTGTCCCTATGTGAAAACCTGGAATCATCTACACTCTCAGGTGATAAGTCAGGAACCAGGCTGATTCCTTCCCTCTAACTCCTGCAGGTGTGGTTTAGACCAGGCCAGACAGCAACTCGAAGCCCAACCAGCTCCCCAAGTTCTGACCCACTAGGACAATCCTCAGGAGCCCCTACTACCTAGAAAGCCAATCAAAGTTTAAAGAGGAAACTGCTTCCTGGTGGGTGTGCCCAAGGGATGGAGAACAAATACACCTGGTTGAGTTCCGGGGCACGGAGTCGCAAACATTTCCTGGGCCCCAGCTCTGTGCTCCATAGCCTCTGGGAGGCAGAGGGGCATTAGACCCCACTCCAAACAATTTCTAAGACTGGGAAGACAGGGAGGCAGAGGACAGTCCCTCATGTCCCAGCATCTCCCCAACAGCCTGTCCTCCAGCACAAGCCATCTGTCCTTGCCTCCCCTTATGAGCCAGAAGATTTGACCTTTATGGAGGCAACACCAGTATGACTGAGCCACTGGCACTGCTCTGCCCAGCCCAGCCCCTCTGAACAAACTCCCACTCTCCCATCCCCTCCACAGGAAGTATCTCCAACAGCTGATCTCCCCCGCGGGCCTACAGTCTGTCTGTCTGCCAGTTTGTCTGCTCCAGAGGGCAATATACAGTTTGGCAGGGGCTAAGGGTCGCCTAATGGAAAAGGTGGGAAAAGTCCTTGGGAGGCTTTCAATCCCCCAGCCACCTCCTCCTCAATTTAGGCCCAAATTCACTTTCCCTCACCAAGCTCTCTCTCCACACTTTATCCTCGAAAGGCTTCCTGAGGTAGGGCAGGGGAAGAACAGTTAGTGGAAGTATGGCTCACCAAGGAGCCACCCCACCCTTCCAGCCAAGTCCCCAGCAGGACAAAGCTGCCAGACAACCCCCCACCCATCTATCTCCTTCCCAAAAAAGGCAGCAATTGCATCAGCTAAGAACCAGCCTGATCCTGGTTCACTCTAGCCCAGACCAAGGGGAGGGGCAGAACAGTCTTGAACCCCAAGGCCCCCAAGCTATGTTTTTTCAGCCTGGGAGCCAACTCTGCTGGATATCAAGCTCACCAATAGCTGGACCAGGCTAGTCTGGCTCTCAGGCCCATCTGGATGCTCAGGACGTGGGCAGGGTTGGGGGCCTGTCATCCCTGGAACTTTAGCCCAGGCAGACCCCAAGAGCCTAGCCACAGATCCTACTCCCAAGTCAGGGCACTGCCCTAGCCTGGTCAAGAGAAGGCAGGGGTCTACGGAAAGAGAAGGGGGCCAGGAGCCCAGAAGAAGAAAGCAAGGTATATATTTGAAGACGAAAAAGAACCTGGCAAGGAGACAGTCCAGAGGTGGAAGCTTTAAGAACGTGGGTACGTGTGGAGGGGTGAGGATCTGGAGAGAACCCAGGGAGGTGACAAGGGGGCATGAGAGAGCCGAGGCGGAAACTCCAGTATGTGAAAGGCAAGGGGCAATAGGTTGCCAGGGTGGGGCCACGGAGACCCGGGGGATGACCGAGCCCTGAGGTAGGCCGGGCTGAGCGGCCGCGGGGAGGCCACTAGGAAGGAGATGACTCCAGCTGGCAGAGCGGGCGGTGTCCGGGGCGCCTGGAGCTGGACCTCTGGCTGGGGGCCTTTATGAGCAAGTTTTGAGAGCTGACAGCCCGTGCCCCTTTCCCCACTCCACCCACTCACCTGGGCTCGCCGCGCCCGGCCGCCCAGCAGGCAGCCCCCGCACCCTGCCGCTCCGTCCCGCGCCTGCCGCGGCGCTCCTCCGGCGCCTCCTTTTGTTTGTCCCTCACTGCACCACTCGGCCTCCTCCACCCCGGAAGTGACGTCACCGCCGACACGCGAACGCGGTGGTGAGGGCGTCGCCATCTTTGTGGGGGACTGCTCTTCGCCTCTGCATCCCTCCCCCTCCCCCGCAGGCGCCATGTTGCTTTGGGGCGGAAGTAGCGCAGCCCGGTTTCGGCCCCTTAAAGGGCTGGAGCGACTGTAACCTCTGGGGCGCGCTTGGGGACAAGGGATGAAGCGGCCGAGGCGGGGGTGAGTAGCTGCTGCCTGAGCGTGGAGGTGCCGAGGCCGGAAGGGCTTGGTAACGGTCCCGAGCTTGATTATGCTGGGGTGTTTGGTGCTGGTATACTGTGCTGAGAGATGAACCCAGCCGTGCGCCGCCCGCGGGAATAAACTGCTCGCGCTTCTCGCTGGCCTGCACTCAGACGCTGGGAACTAGCCAGGTTAGTCATCCTTCTACCCACATTCCCCTTCCCGCGATCGTACGATGGGGAAAATGAAGCCAAAGTTAACTCAGCGAATCTGGGGCGGAACAGGGGCTGTAATAGTCTCGGGACTCCAGTTTTACAGCTGATTCCCGCGTCCTCATAGTTCCCAGACCGATAATAGTAACGGCAACGAAGTTAAAAAAATAGTTACAGTCCATCCATACAATGGAATGCTGTTCAGCCTCTGAAAAGAGAAAAGTTCGATATGCACTAATATAGAACAACTTCCAAGATACATTAGATGGAAAAAGGAAGGGGTAGAAAGAACAGCGTGCGTTGATCGGTGCTACCGTTTGTGTAAAAGAACGTGTGTGTCTGGTAATACGCACACAAGAAGTTGGTAACTGTGGTTGCGTTGGACAGGGGAACGGGATCCTGGCTACCTGGGCAAGGTGGAGGACCTTACTACCATGTGTATGGTTGATTTTCTATTCAAAAGATGTGATGATGAAGATAAAAAAGTCTCCCATCCATCAAGTGTTGAGCCAGTGCAAGACCTCGGTTATCTCGCTGGAAGGTCTTTCTTTTCCCTTTTTTTAAGAGGAGGAAATAGGCTCAGAGAGGTTAGGAAAGTTAGCAATATCTCTTAGCCAGCAAGTGGAGAAGCTGGAATTTGAGCCCAGAGAATTTCACACCAATGCTCACATTGTAGTTTATCCTACACTCCCTACTGAGAAGCTTCTTTGTTGTTATTCATACAACACCCAGCTTGCGGCTTAGCACACAGCAGGCATCCAGGAACTGTTTATTGACTGAACAAGTGGAACTGTCAGGAGGAGACAGCCTGGGGTGTAGAGTGAAAAGAGGCAGACATTGGAGGCCAAAGCCAGGGCTTGTGTCCAAGGTCTGCTCCTTTCTAGCCTTGAGACTATGGACCTGGCACTTCCCTCCCTGGGCCTCCATGTCCCCACCTGTAAAACTAACAACCCCAACTACAATAGCTGACCCCGAGTGATCCCACACATCCATCTCCATACTACTTCCATTACATGCATATTAGCCTCATTTTATAAATGGGTACATGAGGCACAAAGAGGTTAAGAAAGTTGTCCAGAAGAGTCCCATAAGGCCTCATTCCCCTGCTCCCCAGAAGTGGTTGGGTTCCTTGGTCTCTCCCTTGTCTTCCTGGGAACATCAGCAGTAATAATTTGAGGACCTACTGTATGCTGGGTCAGCTGCTGGAGGCTGGAGAACAGGATAGATGCGCAGTTCCTGTCCTTGGGGTCTAGTGAGGGCAACAGACAACACAGTTAGCAGTTAGCATCTTTGATGAGCGTTGTAATAGGCGGAAGCTCAGGGCATTGGGAGCACAGAGAGCACCTGGCTCAGCCTGGGTGGAGCCAGAGAGGGCTTCTCAAAGGAAGTGATTTTTAATCTGTGCCTGAAAGATGAGTAGGGCGTCTCAAAGGAGAAATGACAAGCCTGGAGACTCAGAGGCGGGCTCTTACCCCAGGCTGTGCCTCGGGGTCTGCATTAAGGAGCTGAGGGTAGATGACATGATCAGGGAATGTGCAGGTTAGAAACGTTCAGTTTGCCTTCTAGATGAATCGTTCTTTCTTCCTGGAGAATGCCTCCATTAGTTACTAACTTCAACATTTGTGGCTTCCCACTCTCAACTCCACACTTAACCTCCCAGGTGGGGATGACAAAGGAACACAAGGAAAGTTCATAGCAATGAGGAAGTTCTTCACGCCCCCTGTGCACCCCCATACTTTTTTCATTCTGCCTCCAGAGCGCAGCCCTTGCTGACACAGAAACTCTGCCCCATGTAAATCAAAGGGGCTGGTGGTGCAGTGGTTAAGCGTTTGGCTGCTAACCAAAAGGTCGGCAGTTTGAATCTACCAGCTGCTCGTTGGAAATCCTATGTGACCATTCTACTCTGTTTTAAAGGGTCGCTATGAGTCGGAATCGACAGCGGCAAGTTTTGGTTTGGTCTCAGACCATGAGACATGAGACTTCTCCTGTCTTCCCGGCTGTCTACACTTGCCAGGGTTCCTAGGTTAGTGGCATACCAGGACACTTGGCTGACCAAGTGTAAGCATGACTCCCCCCACCCTCCCTAGCCAGCTGGGCGAAGTCATTCCAGCTGCAGTAGGAGAGGAGTCACCTGCACTCCTGCCCTAACAGATGGGGGCCACGCTCCCCCTCGCCCCGCCATGGCACTGTCAGCTCCCTGAAAAATTTCCAAAATGCTCCTCTCACTTTCTTATTTTGGAGAGTGGTTCACGCTCTGGACTCACAGTTAGGAGCCTCCTGTGCTTGTCCTGGACTCTGACTTTGTGTAAGTCATTTTCCTGCGCTAAGCTGAGTTTCTCCATCTGTAAAAATGACGTGACCCTCTCTAAAGTTCCTACCAACCACCAAAAGTGTATGTGTATATATATGTTCTTCCATATGTAAAACTGCCGTTGGGAGTGAGATTTTTATTTTGGAGCTGGATCCTGTGCCAGCAAGCACTGAGCTACCTGCTGTGTGTCTCACTTGGGGTCCCCCTCCAACCTCTCTGGCCCAGGACCCTGCAGCCTGTGCCCCAGAAATGATTTCTCTCTCTTCTGCCAATTCCAGAGCCAAGGTGAACTGCATATAAGTCAGTGTGCTTGTTAGATATCCCCAGATAGGCCATCACTTCCCTCGGAGTAGACTTGCCAAGTTTTCACCAAACACTTGTCTTATGGGGACTCTGTTTTTTCAGATTAAAAAAAAAAAAAATCAGGATTCATCTGGGTGGACTTGGAAGGCTTCAGAGAGGAGGCAGACCTGGGGCTAGGCACAGCCAGCTGGATCAGATTGGAAGGCATGCTAGGCTAGGCTGCTAGGCTAGGCGGGGCACAGTTTGAGCAAAGGTGGGCAGTCTATTCAAAAGCAAAAGAGTTTGTGTGTTTGGGAGAGGAGGGAGCGTGGAGGCTGCAGCGTCTGGATTCAGGCTGGCTCCAAAGGCCAGACTGAGGAGGCTTTGGACTTTATACGGTATCAACACAGGCAACATGGCAAGGCCAGTCCAACAGGTGATGTAGCTGACGTTAGTCACCAGCGTATTGGTCACTGAGGGTGTCAGTGAGTATTGTCACTGAGGCTTTCCAGGTGCCCAAGGGTCATCTACCTGCTGGCCACAGTCATAGTGCCTTCTGGCCAGGGAGGTGGCCAGTAGCTGCCCAGGTGGGCTGATAGAGGTGTGTGCTTGGGACACAGGGAGGGTGTGAACACTGATCACCAGACCCTAGCCTAGGAGCAAAGAGGCCTGAATTCTTAGATGCCTGGGAAGCTGGGTTGGAAGGTGTCCTAAAGGCCATTGGGTCCATTTCTGCTCTCCTTCCCCCGGGAGGACTGGGGCCTCCTCTATGCTCCATGGTGCCTGAACTGCCTCCATTGTGGTTTCCCACTGACTTAATCTTTAAATAATAACAACAACAATAATGATATCTGGTGAATACTGGCTTTTCACCAGGCAACCATGCTAAATGATTTTCATGTGTTATCTCATTGATTTTTTACTATGACTCTCTAAGGCAGGTATGATCATTAGCCTCATTTCAGAAATGAGGTTCGGAAAAGTTTGGTAATTTGTCAGAAGTCACATAGCTAGTAAATGGTTTCAGTCCTAGGTCTGTCTGATTCCAGAGCCTATGCATCACAGGCTTACACAAAAAAAGTCAAACTGTGTAGAAGTTTATAAGTGAAAGTCCCCAACCCCAATCCCAGAGAAAGTCACTGTTAATGATTTATTTGGTGGTGTCCCTTAAAACATTCTCATGCACAAACATGGACAAAAATGGATAATTAAGGGTGGAGAGGGAAAAACACTAACTAGATAGTAGATAGTGGTAACTTTGGTGAAGGGTAAGACATACAGTACTGGTGAAGTCAGCCCAACTTGACCAGAGCAAAGTCATAGACGCTTCACAGACACATCCAAATGCTCTGAGAGACCGAGCTACTGGGCTGATGGCTGGGGACCATGGTCTCAGGGGACATCAAGCTCAATTGGCATAACATAGTCTATAAAGAAAATGTTCTACATCTGACTGGGGTAAATAGCAACTAGGGTCTTAAAAGTCCACGAGTGGCCGTCTAAGATATATCTACTGGTCCCATCCCAGCTGGAGCAAAGGAGAATGAAGACCAAAGACACAAGGGAAAGATTAGTCCAAAGGACTAATGGACCATAACTACCACAGCCTCCACCAGACTGAGCTCAGAACAACTAGATGGTGCCTGGTTACCACCACCAACTGCTCTGACAGGAATCACAATAGAGGGTCCCAGACAGAGCAGGAGAAAAATGTAGAACACACACACACACACACACACACACACACACACACAGACACACAGACACACACACAGACACACACACAGACACACACACCCAGGCTTACTGGTCTGACAGAGACTGGAGAAACCCCCAGAGTATGGCCCCCAGAAACCCTTTTCACTCAGTACTGAAGTCACTCCTGAGGTTCACCCTTCAGCCAAAGATTAGACAGGTCTGTAGGGCCAACAATAAC